CATGCCTGTGTTGTGCTAATGCCTTAGCCTGCAGTTTGTAGCCATATTTTACTCATTCAGTGATGATCATGTATTTCCTTCACCATTTCCAGCCTCCACCAAAGCTACCTGGGATATTCAGCTCTGAATTTCAGGACTTTGTTAACAAATGGTATGAAGCAACGTCTTACTGCTGTTGAACAGTGGATTGTCCACATATAAAACGTCTTGCCATCTGCTGGTGAGAAAATGCATTACATTTACAGGGATATCTTTCCATTTCAGTTTGGTTAAAAACCCTGCAGAGAGGGCAGACCTCAAACAGCTGATGGTAAGTGTGAAATAACATTCAAATGATTAGTTTTCTACTCTTTAACAAGMTGACACTGTTTAACACTCACTCCTCCAGGTGCATCCTTTTATCAAGCAGTCAGAGGCAGAGCAGGTCGACTTCYCCYGCTGGTTGTGCAGCACCATRGGACTCAACCAGCCTGTGACGCCCACCCACGGCACTACAATGTGATCAGCMCCGCCTTTTTCCACAGTCCTCTTTTGACTGGATTTGTTTTATGTGTACATTCTATGTTTGTATTGAGTATTCAGTTGGTTTTGGTTGTGTAATCAATAGTTCTATATTACGTGTATAAAGCTACATGCCATGTGAATTACCCATGTATGGAACACTTACCTGGGCAATATTGCAGGCCTGCCTGAAAAGCCATCTTTTTCTAGTAATCAAATATTTAACTATAAATGCTGCTCTACCTTTGTGCTTGATATTCCTCTTTGCCCCAGTGTCCTTCAGCACCAAAACATTCTAATCTTTTATGCTAATTGTGTGAAAATAATTTTAATGGACTTCTCATGAATTGGAAATCGTTTTATTATCACTGAACTCCAGTCTTTAAGTAGAAATTTATGCCTTGACTTTTTTAGGTGCTCCCTTCCTTCCAGGCTTCTTCTTGGGTTTCAGCATCTTGGCCTTGATCTAAAGGAACAAACAATGTTAGAGTCACATCAATCGCATCTAAGATTGTTGCTTCTATCTTGWTATGATGCTCTTCTTACCGCAGGGTCGTGCTTGAGGATSGCATGACGTCTGGCTGTCTTGGCGTAAGGGTTCAGTTTGAGCATTATCCTCAAGTTCTTCAGAGGATTCTTCTTCAGCACTCTGCYGTTGATCTTTTTGCTYTAATGACAATAAAACATATTCTTAACTATGACCTACTAAACCACAAAGTTTGTAATTAACCCAGAGAGTCGCTCAGAACTTCGTTTATTATCAGGGTTCAGAAACACGGACCTGAAGTAGTAAATCATCATGTTGGACCAGCCATGATACATTTAGACAAACGTATAAACAGAGAAGTGCTTACTTGGGGGCACAAAGTGCTTTCTGGATCTCCTCGCTCTTTAGAATCCTGCTAKGGTCTGTGTTGGTCATCTTGTGCATTGGGAGGCTGAAAAAAAGGACATTGACAGCATGTTAATGTATGGAAACAATATACTAACAGGAAACTGACCAATCTTATGTTACCAGAACTCAGAACTTCTTTAATATCACATAGATTCAAAAACACGGACCATGAAGTGGAAGCTCATCACTGCAATATGATCAACACCAGTTTGATTTGTGTCACAGGGTGAACACACTACTTCAATACTCACTTGTAACCGAGTTTAAGGGAGGCGGGTTTACGCCAGGTGCCATACAGCTCATCCAGCTTGCGGAAAGCGCTCTCAGTCCAGATGCAGAAGCGTCCAACGTGACCACCAGGGGCGAGCCTCAGGAGGTTCAGTTTGTTCACGTTCTGCAGAGTGATGCCTGCAGATTACAGCACAAGTACATTTAYCACAGAGGCTGATGGGGCATCATCTTGAAACTTTCCTAAGATGAGTTTTACATTTCAACTTTGACAGCTACATTAAGACAAACGTATATATTTTGTGTTTGAAGAATAGCACAGTGGCACTGACTTAACCACTAACATGCATCATTCTCGTTTCATATAAGTGGATATGAAACATAGGTGAGAGATATTTCTTGTGATAAGTCAATATTAGAAAATGATACAAAAGCCGAGTGATTATATATTGTTTAAGTAGAACTAAATCCAAAGAGTGTTGAGATAATGCTTAGATACAACAGTCAATCACACCTGGGATATTTCTGAAGGCTTTGGTGACACCAGCGTCTTGGTTGTAGATGATGCATGGCCCTTTGCGTTGGATCCTCCTACGGTTCCTCATCTTACCCTTACCAGCACGCATGCGCTGAGAGGCGTAGACCTAAAAAACAGTATATGCACAATGTTATTTCATGTTTGATAAAAAGACCAATATACATGTCATCACTGAGCACATAGCACTTGCAGAGGACTAAAAATGTCTCATGTTTTCACACAATACATAGATGATTTTATCTCCCTGAAATTTACTTGGCCTTTGGCTTTTTACCTTCACAACTTATATCAAAATCAAGATATGTAATCGTGTTAATATTCCAAAAACTGAGGACACTACATGTAGAAAAGTGCTATAGTCCCATATTGACCATACAGTATTTTTATGAAAATCACAAATCATTTAAGCTAAAACTTCGATGTTCAAGTTTATTTTCCCCAGTTCTAGACATGGTGTCAGTGTAAAGACAACTGAATGTCTGACTTATCGCCATCCTAAAAATCACATAATTGTTGAAGCCTTAAATCCTTTCACTTAAGGTCCAAGTAAAATTACCTTCTTGATATCATTCCAGGCTTTAAGCTTCTTCAGCAGGAGCACTGCATCCTTGGTCTTCTTGTAGCCCTCAACTTTGTCTTCAACCACCAGTGGGACCTCAGGGATTTCCTCAATGCGGTGTCCTAACAGACAAAAATCATAATCAACCAAAGATAGAACCAAAACAGTTGTAATTTTCAGATGTAAGTTTTACCAGAGCTTGCTCAGAATTTAACACACATCAATTCCAAGTGACAGCTTAAAGACAGCAGGCAACTGTCACTGTTCACCGGGTCAGACGCAAATTACACCATCATGGCAAGCAGTTATCTCTATTTTAAAAATACTGGCAACAACATTTTGATGGCTGTCTATTCACACTTTCTACAAAAACAGTTTGCTGGATGTTACCTTTAGACATCACAAGTGCAGGAAGAGCGGAAGCAGCCAGGGCAGAGCAGATGGCATAACGCTTCTGGGTTGTGTTGATCCTGCGGTGCCAGCGGCGCCAAGTCTTAGTGGGGGCAAACATGCGACCTCCGCGACACATCTTAACCAAAGTCAAGGAGGTTTGACAACTGCCGGAGATTAATAAGTCTTTAATGTACAGTATAAGTAAATTCATAACTATTCAAAACCTGCTCAGACTCAATGTTCGTCAGCCATCTGAGCCAGCATATGACAGTAGGCATTCTGTCACTGGTCACAGAGTCAGTCGCAAATTACACCATCACAGCAAGTCTAACAATTTAGTTGCACATTCAGTGATATAAATGGAAGTTAAAACAGCTTCTATTGTGGTCGAAAGGATACATTTCCAAAAGCACCCTGGCCAGATCGGTGAGTACCACCACCTCTCACACGGGGAATACGGGCCACAGCTCTTCCTGTGCCCCAGGACTCTGCGCTGGTCTGGTGACCTGTGATACACAATTACACAGCTAAATCAGTGAAACGTTTTAATGAAGCACACCAAGAAGGTCCTCATTGTCATATACAAGTTGGTCCAACATTACAGTTCAGTGTAATGCAGTGAAATACTCACCAGCCAGTTCACTGACTGCATAGGGCTGGCGGCTGTTTTTGCGCATGTTGGTGTGGACAAAGTTCACAACATCAGGGCGAATTGGAGCCTTGAACACAGCCGGCATGACAACATTTTTGCCGGATGATTCTCCTTTCTCGGAATACACCGAGATCAGGGGTCGGGCACAGGCCTGGGCAGCAAAAAGGAAACAAGTGTTAAACTTCAGACAGCTGCATGATGAATTAAAGGTGCACATCGTAATATCATGTTGCAATTGATCTCAATGAATGACTAATTCCAGAAACGTATTGAGGCTGCAGGCCATCAGGTCATATAGCATGTGAAAACGAAATTGTTTACAAATCACGGGTATAAAAAGTCATTATACTGTTGATATTAAACCCCCCCCCCTACCTCAAGTTAACTGATGTGATCACAAGTTACAACGCAGCCTCATTGATGCCACGTATTACTACAAATGACCGGGGTTGAGGTTCCTTAGCTTAGCTCAAGTATGCTAATGTGACATAGCAAGCTTATCTTTACATTAACCTTTCATTGTTTATTACTGTGACTGCCTAAGGCACGAAAACACAGTCATCACACATCGCTTAGTTGACTTAAATATAGACGCAAGCTGAGTGAAAACGTGTGGTAACTTGTGACTGGTTGTGTCCGCTCTGCCACTGAAGCCACACGTGTAACTGCGAAACCGAGGCGCCTCGTCCAAAATGGCTCCTCGTGTTAGCTTAGCTAGCCGGGAGCTTTCCACGTTCACTGCTCAGTTAAATCTGAATGTAAGTGTAAACAAGGCCAGACCGTGCTGCCATTTTCGCTTCGCTCATACACCGACATGACACATAAGTATTGTGAAGTGTGTTGAAAGCAAAATGAGCAGAATTCTCACCATTTTCGTTAGTTAGTTTTCGGCTCGCCGGGGACCACGCTCCTCTCGCTATGGCGGCCACAGTGAAAAGGAAGTTGGTGAAGCTCCTTGAATCATTTATGCCTCCGCCTCGGAGCAAACCACTTCCGTCAAGAGCGTTGTCTCGACTATAATTTTCTTGAGCCCAGATAAAGACAAGCGATACAACTTAAATATTTGCGTAAAGTAAGAATGGTGTTTTTTTCACTGTTGCAGAGCTCAGGTTTGAACAAAACGTCCAAAGTTTGTTGTTGCAGCTGGGACTATTTCTTTACTCCGTGTTGGCGAAGGCAGAGAGTAAAGACCGAACTACTTTCTTAACCAATTTTTTTGGCAGAATATTTTTTAATTTGCTCACGTTATATTTTCATATAGCCTAGAGTTGTTGTAAACTTTTAAACATGTGTGTATGAATTAATTTTCTGTATATTTAAAAAGACAGAGTGAGGACCTCTGACCCAATGACGTCACAGTTTGAGAGCGAGCGCGCGAGAGTCAAAACATCAACATTAGCAGCAGAAAGTTAGTGTCTGTTTGAGATCAGGTGTTTTTGGCTCATTCCTCTGGTCACAGTTTGCTCGGTGGCAGGAGCTCGGCTCTGTTATTTACGATGGGCTCTAAGGTGATATGCAGCGCAAAGGAGTTCTTTAATATTCTCCGGTGAGTTTTGCATCTAACACGTTATTAACTTAGCTTATTTCTGAGCTAACGTTAACGCCAAGTGATGCTAGACAGTTGGCAAAGCGCAACAACACTCGCTGAAGTAAAGTTCTGTTTTCAGATCTCTTCAAGATGAGGAAAGCGACGATCCGTTTACACACGAGGTAATTTATTTTTATTTAATATAAAATCTATCACAGATCGGTGTGTACCCTGAAGTTAATCATTCAGATGCACACAGCTTATCAAACTCAGCTTATTATTATTATTATTATATTTTTCACCTGAAGTTCTTGTTGCTCTTGCACAGAGACACAGGATCTTCAGGAATCTTTTGCTGCGCATACTAAAGGACAACAGGCTCGTTTATAATACTACGTTTCGATCATAACACTTGAGAAATTAACAAACTCTTAAAAGCTATAAACGCAACTTAGTGTTCTCTTCAAATCATCAGCCAGTCATGTCTTTACTACGCAGATATTAACTCTGTGTGTAACTCATTTATTTTGTGCAGTCTGCACACAAGATAAATATCTTGTTGATAATTCTCTTATACAAGATAGTAACTTGTTCCCACAAGATACAAATATTTCATCTTTTGGACTTCAGAGGATCCGTTGTATGTCTGTGTTACAGCATGTTTTTGATTAGAGTCGATTGATCATTTAGAAGTTTAAAAGGAAATGAATAGCTAACTATTTTAATACTAAATTTGTAGTTTCAGTGATTATTAATGCAAAATGCAACATTTCAATGGTCCCATATGTTTCAGGAGGATGTCCAAATATTAAAGATGAATGGAGACAGAGTTGCTGTGGTGAATATGTACTGTGGTAACCAGTCAGTCTTCATCTGTCAAAAAGCTGTGAGTAATGTTATGGAATTAATTAACTATGTGTCTGTGATACAATGTCACATGTAGATCAAATGCTCAGTTTAACAGCCATTCATTCAACTCTACTCTTCTCATTAATGTGTGGAACAATGCATTGTTCCACACATTAATGAGAAGAGTAGAGATTAATGGTATCAAAATCCTCATTTCGACTCTCACATATGTGATCTCATTTCTGAGAATGCATATGATGCATTTTAATTTTTGAGATCAGCTGCATCAAAACATTCCCAAACTCTAAAGCGCCCCATAATGCATTTTAATTTTTTGGATGTAGCTCAAGATATAAATTATGATTAAATTTTTTTCAAAATCGTGCAACTCAAGATACAAGTATCCAGTGGTGCGTTGTTTTTCCATACACCCTGGTCAATCCTCTCACCAGTGCTCACTTTTGGACCATGTTTATCTTTCTTTCTTCACAAGGTCCCAAAAATAAGTGAAGCTGATGATGATCAAATAACTGAGAATTCAAACTGCGCTGGTGATGATGCTGATGATGCTAATGATGCTAGTGTACTTAAAACAGACCTGGGACCACAGCCTCTCACAATCACGAAAGCAAGGTAATCAATGTGAAGAAACTTAACTTGAAGCAATTCAAATAGGTTAATATAACCTTTGTGTCTAATAAACTGTAGCTGACATATCAAAATGTTTTTTTACAGGCAGTTACTGTCTTGGTACACATTAGCTCAAAATGCTAATGTGTCAGCTGTGGACAACAACCCTGCGTTAAATCCTCTGTGGGTGCGATGCGACATGTCAGATCCTGCTAAAACAACCTGGTTTGGGGCTGAAACAGTCTGCATCGGCAATAAAGTATCTGGTGTAAAATTATACTCTGTTACCTGCAAAGGTATAACTCAATTGCTCCATGCCTCTTTCACTAAGCCACCCATGGATCATTATCACTATGAGTTAATATTTGTTTATAATGTTTCATTCAATGTTTTTAGGTGCAGCGATGGACAAAAGAACTTTCATCACCTTGGATGAGCTGAAACAAGAGCACAAGAAAAGGCATCACCCCTCCTCGGTAAGTGTGCAGTGTACATCCTCTCTTTTCAGTCAGTGTGAATGAACATTTTTTCACTTAGATCTGTCTTTACCTCTAGATGGGAATTAAGGGCAGTGCCAGGTTCCACTTGTTTGGCTCCACTGTTGTTGAGAACACAGTGATTGAGTCACAGAGCAGCGTGACAGTGGATTTCAAATGGAGTCATGTGGAGAGTATCCTCGAGACCCCACCCCTCTCTTCTACAGCTACACTGGTAAGCTGCAATAACACTTAGAATATACTCCTCTTACATAATATACAAAATACTTAAGTGAATTCTTGATCATATTCAAAATAAAGTTAAGTGTTTTGCACAAACTATGATTCTTGCTGTATATTTGTTCACATGCAGAATATCAAAGTTACCAGTGGAGACATGAGAAGCCCGATGTTTGAGATGTACAGGGAGATGGAGTTTCTTCAGGTTTGAGTCCTTCAGTGATCTGAGATGAGTGACTGAACATCAATGCACAAATAAACAAGTGGATAAATCAGATTCCTGTTATTTCAGACTCTTGCTGATGGTTTGAGAACTGGTGAGACTGAATGGATGGAACCTTTGGAGAGCACATCAGCTGTAAATCTCATCAAGGCCTACCTATCAGGTTTCTATTTTCTTATATGAATGAGTATGATTCTCCACTATTAACAGTCTATTAAGAGAATGTTTTAGTTTTCACTTTATTCTTTCAGAGCTACAGAATACTGCAAAGAATCTACAGGATCAGGCTCCAAACACAGCTGAGGTATGATAATATTCAAACCAATAGACCTCCCCATAATGTATTTATTTCAGAATATATGTTGTAGCTTTCCGTCTTCTTCATAATTTCTTAAAGAGCACAAAGATGAAGTCTGGGACAGACACTCCCATTTTCAACTTTCTCTTGGAACGAGGAGATTTGGATTTTGTGGAACAGTTGTGGGTTCGCATGAGAAAGAGTGAGTCCTTTTCCAAATCAAAAAATAATTTGATGTAGCATTGTAATCAGGCAACAACAATCATTTTCTAATGTTTCTTTCCATCTCAGGTGTGACTTCATATCAAGACATTGGAGACTGTCTGAAACTTGTCATCGAAGCCCTGAGATACGGAGACATCAAACCATGGGTATGGGAGAATGCAGCTTCTAGAAACTATTCCATTTTTCAATTCAATTTTATTTATATAGCGCCAATTCATAATTTACATTATCTCAAGGCACTTTACATTTAAACTACTCTCCACCGATAAAAGACTGGAGGTTGTTGTCTGTGAACTTGTCTGCTTTGTCTCGTGTCACTTCTCTCAGATTCACAGAGACAGCAACAGCTCCCTCAGCAAGCTCATCCTGCAGTCCTACCACCAGCAGATGGACCACGTGTCTCTCACAGGAGTCACACCCGTCCACATGCTGCTGGAGATGGGTTTGGACAAGATGAGAAAGGATTACATTAACTACCTCATTGGTAACTTGTGATTTATCTCAGAGAAAAATCCATTGATCTTGATGGAAAAAAAAAATCAAGCACATCTCGGGGACTGATATCTTTGAGTGTTTGAAATTTGGTGCAGTTTGATTGAATATAAGGGGACTATGGGGCCTTGGTGGAGGTATGTGCTCCACTGAGTGTCATTCTTGTGTTTAGAGTGATAATTATTTAACTGCATTATAAATAAACTAGCACAACATTTGCTTTGTCATTCAACTATTGTTTATCTTTTGTCTCAGGTGAAGAATTGGCAACTCTAAACCACTTGGTGAGTTTAAGACTTCTACTGACAGCTATTTGAAAATGACTGTTCATGAAATATTGACTTTGAGTATTTTACTCTCCAGTGTTACTACCTGAGCACTGAGGTTGATCTACAGGAGCAAGTGATCCGATTGAGAAAACTGCACCACCTGCTGGAAATAATTGTGACCTGCAGCACATTTCTGAGTCTGCCCTTCGACCGTCTGTTCCTTCTCACACAGTAAATAAAGTTTCGAGTTTTCTCTTGTAGGAGAATCCAAAATATCTGTTTGTATTGGTGACGTCCAGATGAGGTAACTGAACATCTTGTGTCCTCTCCTCTTGCACAGATCGTGTTTGCAGCACTACAAAACAATCCCATATGATGAGGAACACGAATTCAAACTCCAAATCAAACCAGCCCTGATCAGCCACTTTTACCAAAAGTAAGACGTGGAACCTTTCGCACTCATTTATGTTTTAACACAAACTAGTTGTTTGTTTTAATAAAGTGTCAAAAACAAAAAGTAGGACACTATTCAGGTGTGCTCATGACTCTGCTGGTGCCTCTGCATTCACAGAAGCTCCTCTTATTACAGTTTGAGGTGTCATGTTGTGATCACATCACCCAATATGCATTTTGTGTAACTTGGACCAATGTCTCATTTTTAATGAGCCACAGAGAGCAACCGGTTTTGTGGGGAGCTGAGGTTTTCAGTGGCCACGGTCCTCGTGAGGTCAGGACGTCGTTACAGCTCAGCGACAGACCACTGGTTGATCATGTCATGCTTGAAACAGGTGATTTTCATGCTTTGCACCAAATATGTTTTGCTGTTCATTTGCAAGTAGTAATCCCCGCCCCCCCCGTGAAGTAAAGCAGTGCTAACTCTTTTGTTCCTGACGTGTCTTTAGATTACCCAAATGAAACAGTGAATGGGGACAGTGAGGACCCAGCCTTCTTCTCCACCATGGTGTGCTGCAGTCTTGTCAACTTTGCATGAACTTACACAACAAAATGCAAATGGGGGGTGTTTATTTTCATGTTTGATATTCTCATTGGTAAAATATCAGACATACTCAATTTAAAACCTACATCGGGCACTATAGATGTTTCTGTTAATATGATGTACTTTCTTGTTACATGTTTTCAATGAACAACCTTCAGTCCTTTGTATATATGTTCTTTGACCCTGTGAGGGTCTTTGTGATTATTATCACATCAGCTGTTTTTTTTGTATTCAACAGAGCAATTGAAAGAGATTGAGTTTCAACCAAATGAAAACACAAAAAATCAGTAGATCACAGGTCTGTTTGCAATGGTCTTATTCCACAGCAGTTTTAATAAGAAAATCCAACTTGTTACAGGGCTATTCACACAGTGTGAGTGTCTGCAACTAAATTAATTATCAGCTCAACCAATGGTTTTACAGCAAACACTGTTTACACGTCAAATGAATGAAGTCCCTCATTTTCTTCTCTTCCATTTTAAATAATGCATTTATGTTCACACGTTTATTAAAGAGATGATGCATTTACAACAGGGGTGTCTGTGTGTTCATATGTGTGTTAATGTTATTATAAACCTGCACACTTTCTAGTTCCGCCGCCGCAGCAGGAACATGAGGAAGATGGCACTGAGCAGAATAGAGAGGGTGCACACGGTGGGAACAACAATCTCAGTTACCATCTCCATGTGGCTGGTCAGAGGATCTGCAATGCACAAAACACACAGATGCACACACATGAACTCCCTTGCATTGTTATATCGTTCAGACACTTATTAAGCCAGTCTGCATGCTCAAGCACAGCACTCAAAGGGTTAATATTGTTTCCCCCCCCCCCTCTAAATCAAATCACCCTCGATATAATTTGCAGTTGGAATGAGTGATTCCTTACCATGTATAAGTCTTAGAATATTGGCAGCAGTACTCCGCTGTTCCTCTAATAAAAAGAGAGAAATGACTCAGAGTTGATTAACGGCACTTTAACCCTTTGAGAACTGCATGAAGCTACTGGGGAATATTTCAGGAGGCAGCGTTAGTACCACAGCAAAATAACTAAATCTGATCTTATCTTCTGAAATGTTGTTTATTGTGAGCAGTCATCAGCAATCATGGCTGAATCCTGTTCCTAAAACTTAGTTTGACGTTATATTATCTAAATTTAATTCTCAAATATCAGACTGTTTCACTATTTGATTAAATTTACAGTTCTGCTCTATGGCACTGATCAGTTTTATGTTTATGTCGAAGATGTTGTAAAATCAGGGCTATTAAATTAGATTTAATCACAATTAAAGAGGTAGTTACACTGTTTCTGACGAGCACAAGCTTGTTTGAAAGGCAGGTCTTGGTGTTAAACTGCGGCGGCACAACTCTGTTAGTCACATTTTAAACCACAATCGCAAAGCAAGAGAAAAAAAAATGTAAGCAACAGAAGAAAAATACCAAGTTCTAAACTTCGTCATGCACTGGCCAAACCTTTGGCATTTCTGCATGTTCCTTGGATTTTCTTCTAGCTGGAGGGGCAAACAAAGAAGATATCTCAGATATTCTGTGGATAATTCTCTTAATCTAGTTTTATATTTCCAGAATTAACTAATAATTTGTCCATGTGTTTTCTGAGGTGCTCCAAGAACACACATTCAGGTCAAATACGAATTATATTGTCTTTGATACATTTAGTGCAAAATCTTTATTTGTTTACCCCAGCTAGTTGATAAGTGGTAAAGTCAGGGATGTTAGAGATGAACTTACCTGCTGCTAGGAGCTGGTTGCTAGAAGAACAGGTCTCAACTGCCTTCCTCCTCCAGTTCTCAACCTGTGAAGGTTTAGCATAAAATTACACATTATCACTGATTTATATACATAGATTATTAACCAATTAAACCACAAACCCTAATTACAGATTAAATTAGTTTATGTTTATGTTTGCATCGTTTCTCTCACCTCTCTCTGATTGGGAAATCCATTGGAGCTGATGATGCGTTTGTAAAACTGAACAGAAGCTTTGGGGTAGCGAGGTTTGTTTTTATTCCTGAAGTCCACATAGTACAAGCCAAACCTCTCGGAGTAACCCTCGTCCCACTCAAACTTGTCCAGCAGGGACCACGCCGTGTAGCCCTTCACGTTGACCCCATCTTTGATAGCTGAGCGACACCACAGGGAGCACAAAGGTTGGATTAGACACGGAATTAATTTACTCGACCAAAGGAATAGGCTTATATTTAATCGTGTTGTAAAATATGCATGAGTTCACTCACCTTTCAACATTTCGTTGATGTAGTCTTTAAAATACTGTATCCTCCAGTCGTCACACAGCTCCGTGCACAACATCTTCTCAGAGACTCCATTCTCGGTCACATAGATCGCTGGGTTTCCATACTGAGTCTAAATAGGAAATAAATGAGATTGATATACAGACAGATTTAACTGGGGTTGTAGAGTCAACATTTCAGCTGTGCTTCCTTTACTGTACATTCTACACCAGTTGTCACCTTGACGAAATTGAGCAGGCGCCTGAAACCCCAGGGCACAGAGTAGAGCCATTCTGACCCGGGGTCTGGCCACCGTGGATCGACCAGCTCAGCCAGGTCACGGTCATTGAAGTAGCTGCTGCTGCTGCGGCCTGATGGAATGTTCTTCTGGGTGATGTAGCGGGTGGTGAAGTGGCCGATGCCGAGGAAGTCGCAGGTCCCCTTGATGTAGCTCTTCTCTTGGGGGGAAAAGGTGGGCAGGCGAGACGTCCCGAGGCCCTGCTGCACACTCTTCCTTCCTGCATCACAACCAGCGATCGGTTCATTAAACTAATGACACACTTTATTTCAGGATTAACTGCTCACAATTCAACTCACCGATAAAGTCTTTCATCACTTGGGGGTAGTCTCCGTGAAAGACTGGCGTAGCGAACCAGCCCAGGTAGAACTGGACGTATCTCTCAGCTGCTTCGATGTCTTTCTGGTTGCTGATGTCCACTGGCTCTCCCCAGTCCCCGGACAGAGAGATGCCGACCAGACCTGCAGGTGTGAAGAGCAGCTCTCAGCGCTCACACATACTGAATCAAGACAGTGTGTTTCACTCCCAAAGCTGTTGCTTACCTTTTTGCCTAGCTCTCCATTGTGTGTCATAAGTATGCCACACTTTGGCATGTGCCTGTGGAAAAGATTTTTACCTTTCAGTCAAAACTACTCATGGGTTGCTTGGTGTTTAATTGAATATTGTTTCTGCATTCATGTACCTTGATTATGTGGTGGGCAGCTCTGTATGCACCAGTTCCTCTCAGCCTCAGCCCCGGAGCGTGCTCACCTGTCTCATAGCCTTCGACTGCTACTGACTGTGGTTGAGAAAAGTGTTTGTGCAACAGCGATGCATGCAATAGAGTAACTATTCAAAAACCATGTAAATGCACATGCGTAGAGGTGGGTGTTCATTTCAAACCTACCCACGGATTGTTGAAAGTGATCCAATACTTGACTCGGTTACCAAATCTTTCAAAGCACAAGTTGGCAAATTCATTGAAATGGTTGACCATGCTTATATTCTGCCATCCGCCGTATTTTTCATGTAAGACCTTGAAAAGCAGAAAGTTTAGAGTTTCAGTAAAATACATATCTGCAGCTTAATTTGAGTCTCATCAGTGTTTTGCATCCAAACCTGGGGAAGATCCCAGTGATACAGAGTGACAATGGGAGTGATGTTGTTTTCCAGCAGATGGTCAATCAGGTCACTGTAGTACTGTATTCCTCTTTCATTGACATGGTCAGCTGCAGGTTGTGATTAAAATGAAGATAAATGTTCAGATTCAGCAGTTGGCAAATACATATCTTGAGTTTTGAAGGAGCTGCAGTGACTCACACTTTATGCCGGTGGGCAGGAGTCGAGGCCACGAGATGGAGAAGCGATAGTGGTTCAGTTTCAGTTCCTTTATCAGAGAAACATCGTCCTGTGCAACACACAAGCACAATGCAGTGAGACATTTGACATTCCTCTCCTTCTGTTCTCTCCATCTCTCTCAGACACACCACACCTGATCCCCCCCCCCCACCTTGACTCTGTAGTAGCCCTCACAGGAGGAATCCCCTGTGTCATTCTGCTGGATTTTGCCTTTCTTGTGACTGAACACGTCCCAGATGCTCAGTCCTTTTCCATCTTTGTCCCAGGCTCCTTCTGTTTGATAGGCTGAACTGCCGGCACCCCACGAAAATCCTAAAAAAAATACATCAGCCGTTCAACTCTGATTCTTGAGAGGAACGATATCACCAGTTACTGAATAATTCAAATGAACAGTATCTGTGACTGCAAAAGGTTAAAAAAAAACAACAACATGGAGTACCAGCCGGAAAAGTGCCATAATAGAAGGAGCTGTGGTCGTTCTTTGTCCAGTCGAAGTCCTCAGCCGCAGACAGACACAGCACCAACATAAACACATGGCACACAGCGAATGCACAGCGGGGCCGCATGGTACTTCTGAACCTGCAGCACGGTCACTGTCTGGTTCTCCTCCAGTCCCTCAAAAAACGTCTGCACACACACAAAAAACATTCAGCATCAACTCACGGAACATGTTGCAGTACATCCAGAACACAAATACACAATGCTAACAAACCTCTCTCCTGAGATGATCTAAAATAATTATTACTTTAAAACAATCATACGATCACTCTGAACTCTCTGGAAGTGTCCAACCTGATGCACGACGAGGATTCCACGTTCCCCGGTGCAGAGCCAAATGCCCCCTATTCAAACTCAATGGGGTGTGAGCTCATCTTGCTGAGGCAGACAGATCCCATACAAACTATGGTTTCACCTCTGTAAGCAAAGTTGACGTTAGAGAGGTTGATATATTTACGCTGCACCATCACGAGACAAAGGATGGACTTCACCACACAAAGAGACCAAATGCTTTACACCAAAACGGTGTTGTTTGACAGTTAGAAGGAAATGTGCAATTCCTTTTTGCAGAGTGAAGATTCATATCCATATTTAAATGCTGACAACTTGGAGAGAATCAACAGAGTTAACTATAATTTGTTTCACACATTAAATTTTAATCTTTAATCTAATCCTGAAATGGTTGTGATGCATACGATTCCAACTGATACTGCAGAATGACAGCTAAATATCAATTTATATAGGATTATATAATGTTTTTTTTGTCTCATTGTTCTCCTGCAATTAAGTCTTTTACATAACCAGCACTTACTCACAATCTCTAATCATATTTCCATTGAATTTGATTCACAATATCAAATGTACAGAATAAGATGTAAACGAGCCTGTGTACCTTATGAAGAATTCATTTGCAGCGGGTGTGTGCTGAGCCAGTGTGGTGGGTGTATGTGAGCCCTCCTGGAAGAGCAGAGCGTGTGTAGAAAGCTGAATATATCTGTTGGTGCAGTCTCTATTGTATGTTGCACCACCCTTCTCCAGAGCTGTCCCTGCTGTCAGTGTGAAAGCTGGCCTCATTGTGAGGCTCGATGCATTGTTTCACATGTTTGGAAAAATGCTGAATGGTTTGCGAGTGGAAAGTGTTTGCA